ATTCTAGACAGGGGTGATATATGGAGGAATGTCAAAGGAGCTGGTAATGTTTTTCCATTTCTGCCCTTTCTGGGTGAAAAGAGGGCAAAGGAAGAGAGTAGAACTTCAAAGCAGTGAGTTTAGGAGAGATTGCACTCATTATTTTGAGCGTCTCACAGTGTCTGCTGAAGGCCAGGGTTGTCTCTCATTTGGCAGACGGGTAGTGTCACTCTCTCAGCTCGCTCATTAAGTGCTGTTTGGTACAGCATTACCTTGATAAATGTTCCACTTATGCCACAGAATAGGCTGATGAATCAGACACTGTATGGCGCTACACAGACAGATCTTCTCACCGTGAGTGAGACTGCAGTGTGAGAGGTAGTAATGATCCATCGACAGGCTAAAAGAGAGGTCTGACAGGTTATTTCAGACACTATCAATCCAAAGAAGTTTAGCAGTGTGCAGAAAATGAATAACTTGGAGAGTAATCAAGGTGGTTTATGCATGCATATTAAACAGCAAGTGGATCCCATATAGTGTGGAACAACTGCCAGAGATCCTTGGGTGTCCCAGAAAAGTTTCACTATGCAAGACGTTTCAACTTTGTTTCATTCAGCATTCAAATGATGAAATTATAGCTGCTGCGCAGCAATGGTCGGGGCCGGGCAATTTTAGGCAAAAACTGCCTGGATCATAATTATTTTAACCTTGGTAGTCTCTAATCCACACAACATGATGCCTGAACTTTCACATTAGAATGTCCATTCTGCCTTAGCTGTGGCTTGAACTCACAACTTCTGAGACTGAGGTCCTTCTTCTAACTCACTGAGCTAATTGGCAAGTGACAGTTCATGTGTGGCTTCACAAATTGACTAAGCCCAGCATCAGGGTGTCAGACAGTAGCCATCCATGCCATGGAAAAGCAAATTTCAAAGTGAAAGTTCCAAAGCTGTAGCAAATATGGTTGATTTGTTATGAATTATCAAAGTTTTGAAATTTAGAGGCTTGCTGTAGCGCCACCATCAGGACTATTGTCTTGTGTTTCCAGTTGAGGACATCTGGCATGGGACTGGACCTTTATGAAAAGTTTGGGTAGGTTTCTCATATAGAAATGTTGCATGAGCTGAGGCTTGAACTCACAATCTTCAACACCAAGAACCATCCTCTATCTCACTGAGCTAATTGGCAAACAGAAATGTCACATGTAGCTTCACAAATTGACAAAGCCAGTCACCTGTGTGCAAGACAGCAGCTGTTAGTGTGTAAAGGCAGATTTCAAACAGCTGTCAAAAATTCAGTTATTAAGACAAAAATCCGAAAATACACAAATTGCATCTAGACAGCATGGAGATGCTGGTAATTTGTTTTTAACAATGATTTATTGGCTCCATAAGTGAAGAACTGATGTTTAAAAATACCATTTTTGCATTGACTCCAATTGTTCGCATGAGAGCGAAATTCAAAATGCTGTAAAAAATCAGTTTTTGAGATAAAATTCTGATATTTTCCAAACATCATCTACCATGACTCCAAAATTTTGTCATTTTTTTAAATGAACATTGAAAATGTATTTAGCAAGAATTTGCATGTATATGTTTACAGTACCGTTTACAGTCAAACATTTTGATGCACTGTAGGCTCAATTTTCGATAAATCCAAAATCTGTGTGGACTGTTTGTGTAGGACAGTCTGAAGATGATCTGTAGCAAGTTTGGTGTCAATTGAGCAAAAATTGTGGGAGGAGATAGGTTTAATAAGTTTTACATTTTTTGAAAAAACAGAGTGAGGGACGTCATAATTTGCAATAGGTTTAAATGTACAAAAGTTTCTTCAGTATTGGGGCTACATTTTGGTGAAAGTTGCAAATCTGTAGCACATATGGTTCATTTGTTGTGAATTTTCAAAATTTTGAAGTTTAGAGGCTTGCTGTAGCGCCACCATCAGGACTATTGGCCTGTTTTTGCAGCTGAGGCAATCTGGCATGGGACTGGACCTTTGTGCAAAGTTTGGTGATTTTTCTCGCATGGGAAGTATGATTTCCTCGCCCTAAGAGATAAAATTATTGTCATTTTGAAAGACTGGAGAAACATCCAAAACATTACACCCAGGTGATCCCAGGTAGGAAAGAAATAACCATAGCAGCCTGGTCTCACTTCCAGGGTATCAAAATACACTGCTTGGGCAGTGATGCCAGGGGTACCTTTAGCCTCTGTGTGAGACGCACTGGGCTTCTCACCAACTCCATTGTAAACCCACCTGCGTCACTATTAGACACTCAGAGCAGCGGGGGTAGTTTAAGGAGCATGAAAGTTTGCTTAGGATGGGCAGGAGAGGAGTTGGATGGGTCCAACAAGCACAGGACTTTGACCAAAGACACCAGTGCTGGAGAACAACAAACACAACATCAGCTGTAGCATTTGTACCACCAAAACCAAATGTTTTCAGTAAGCTGCCTTTCTGATAACATTTGTGCCACCAAACCTAACCATAGCCAAGTAGTTTTGTTGCCTGCACCTAACTGGCAACCCCTTATACGAGTCAACTCACTTGACTAACATCAACCACGATCTTTTCCCAACCTTACCAAGTAGTTTCGTAGCCTAAACCTAACTGCAGACCCCTTGCGTGAGTCAACTCACTGGGTGTTTTTTAGCAACATCCACATACTTTTGCTAACCATAACCAAGTAGTTTTGTTGCCTTGACCTAACTGCCAACCACTTATGTGAGTTGACTCACATAACTATCAACCACAATCCTCTCCTGACCTTCACCAAGTCCTTTTGTTGCCTAAACCTTATTGCCATCACCTTAGGTGAGTTGGTTCACCAGGTATTTTTTAGCGACATCTGCATTCTTTTCCTAACTCACGCCTGGGCAGTGACTTCCATATCAGACACCAATACACTGATGTAGTATGTTTATTTTGAAAGAAACTTTATGTAAACTGTACATTTCCTGTGAAAATGGAGGTGTATTTTGAAAAGACACAATGCATGTAACAGACTGAAGTTAACACACCGTCCCAGAACATCAACAACAGACGCACCAAGGCCACCTTGCATGTCATATGTACTGTAGATGTGGAAAGTCCTGACCAAGTGGCAATATGTGACGAGGTTGAAGTGAGAATGCCTTACCTAACCTTACCCAAGTAGTTCTGTAGCCTAAACCTCACTGCCAACCCTTTATGTGAGTCGTCTCACGTGACTAACATCAACTATTATCTTTTCCAAACCTTAACCAAATAGTTTTGTTGCCTAAACCCAATTGCCTACCCCTTACATGAGTCAACTGACCAGTTTTTTTTAGCAACATCTGCAATCTTTTTCTAACCATAATCAAGTAGTTTTGTTGCCTAAACCTAATCACCAAACCCTTTTGTGAGTTGATGCACGTAACTAATGTCAACCATTATCTTTTCCTAATCTTAACCAAGTTGCATAAACCTAACCGCTGACGAGGCTTAGCTGGTATCAAGGTATTATGATATACCAAGCTATTTAGAAATCCTGAAGGTATCATTTTCAATACCGTCATAATACAGACACTCCTCTTTAAGGTCAACTGATACGGACAAGTTGTATTGAGACGACATATTGTAGTGCACACACACGCCACCAGAGATCAGTCACTACTGGTGGAAAAGGCAGCTGAACTGAGAATGATGGCGACTATAAGTGGTGGGGATAATGTCACAGGAGTAGTAAAAAAAGTAAATAAAATAAAGGCCTTCACCCCGTGTCTTGAGATGACCTCTTCCAGCTATAAAAGCTGTTTATTAGCCACATAATAATGTTCGACACATCATCTCTGTTCAGACCACTGGTGTGTCAGTAGCCACCACAGCAACAAGTGTCATGAGGGTGCTTATTTCCTATCTATTCATTATTCTATGGCTATACATATTGAAACCCAGCAGGACTTGTCTAAGTAGTAATTTTATATTAGAATACAGCATTGTAGGCTAGACAATAACATACCCCAGCTTTTATGTTTATTGATTTTTTTTTTACACATTTACCGTCATATACCATAAACCAGGGTGAAATGTCAGGAAGGTACGACGCTAACACCTTCTAGATAAAACACAAAAGGCTGCTCCTGGCGTCATTATAGTAACGCAGGAACTTCTGTCCAAGTGGCAAAATATGAGGGGAAAGGATAAAATCATGTTACCCTTTGATTTATCTTGCAACTCCTTAAGAGAGTCCTGACCACCAGTTTGGGAACCACTGTTCTAATGAAAGATGTGATTAAGTTGCATTATGAGAAGTGAAGGATCTGGGTTAAGGAATTCTTAGCTTCTTTAATCTCTGCTTATTCAAATGTAATAATAAAATACTGAAATACGTCTTGAACAGTGGACACTTTATGTTGGATTAATATAAACCGGATTCAAGTCCTTTTTGTAGAGTTTGCTGGATTACATTTGTAATGATTTTCTTTGAGAATATGAGCTTTTTAAAATTTTTATTGGAGAATATCTATGCAGTGTGTTTAATTTTGATGGACTTTGGATGGGATGAGTGTTGCCAAGGCCACAGGAGAAAAAGTTATTCATTACATTTAATTTAGTTATTAACCTTCAAAGTATCATTATAGAAACTTTGTGTTATATAATTTAGATTACGCAACAGCCTAACCACAATCACTGCCCTTCTCCCAGCTGGATAATAACAATTCCTGGATATTATGCTAAACACTTTGTGATGGCTACTAATAGTTATTGTTATATAACCTGTACTGTTCTGCACATCCCTCTGTGTGCATTCTCAAAGTTAACATGTACTTCCATAATCTATATAATACCACAAGTTATTCAAAATATTGTTATATAAGGATCTATCTCCATGGCAAAGTATAGCAATCCACTGTACACACTGTAACCCACCTGTATTCACAGGCATTATTGTTAACAGACAGGGATGGGCAGAGAGCTACTGCACACTTCCATATGCAGCTCCCAGCATGCCGCTCTGGCGCAGGGACACCGCTGCTGTGTTGGACTCACTACTCACATGCTCATGCATCAAAACACTGGCTGTGCAGTCGTGAAACCGCCCTGCCCTGCTACAACTACACCTTAGCACAGACTTATCTCCTCTGCGAGGACACGGGCGCAATTTTAATCATAAACCTGACCTCACAAATCCGTTTGTAGTTCTGTGATGTGGGGCGTGCGTGCCACACATACTACTAATCCCTGGATCCCCAGAGAAGGACCATGATTTCTGGGACGGTGTTGCCAGGGGGAAGGTGGCGCCTGGGACCTGTTGGAAATGACAGCTGAAGAAGGCGGATTGAAGCACAGGGATCACAATAACAGTGAACGTAGAAGATAGCGAAGAAAACTCCCTCGCGTCACTGTGTAAAGGGTGTGTGTGTGTCTGTTTAGCGACATTTGGCAGCTTTAGCCTGATAGCTAATGATCGCAATGTGATCCGCGACTCGCAAGCTAACGAGACCCGAGCTGGGTGCGTGTGGGTGTATGCGCGCGCGTGCGCGTGTGTATCTGTGTGTGTACGTGTGTGAGTGTGCGTAGCTATAGATTTTTAGTGTGAATGTGTGTTTGTGCGTTTGTGTGCCGCTGCACTTATCCTCACTGTCCCCACCTGTCATGTTAGCTAGCATGCTAATTTGATAAAGCTAGTTGGCTAATAAAAGAAATTAGCTGACAGTGGGCGAGGTGCCACAGCGACCTTATCGCCGCAAGTCAAATGGTGTACTAATACGTCAGCACAGCAGTCATGTAGATCTATGTAACGCAGCCCAGGCTCATTTGTTAGCGGTTACGAATTACCTAATTAGCTATGTAACTGTCTGACGGCAGGCTGGCTAATTTGCTCGGCTATTAGCTTAGCAGCTAGGAGCAGGGGGGAGCTTGCACGCTAATTGACCTAGTTTGGTGGGGCAGAGGCCATGTTGTCATTCCACTCGACTGAGCTGTGTTTACATTATAAGTTTTGGGCTTGTCACTTTTGGGGCGCACTATTTAATAGTTTTTAAACGTGTAAACACTCAATATACTGTGACAAACGTAATGCCCTTATAATTAACGGTAAGTCCTTACAGACTCTCGCCCTGGCATGCTAAATATGTCGTCCTGTCAACGGTAAAGTACATTTTTAACCCGTTTCTTAAGACACGACTGAACCAGCTGAAGCCTGACACATGCTAGAATACAAGGCAGGATATAAGACATTAAAAAAAGGCTGTAACCAAAGTGTTGTTGAACGAACTGTGTGGTTTGCTGGTTTGTTTTTGAGAAGGAGTGATTTAGCTGTGATTTACATATGACCATGAACGCAGCAGTCTCAAATGTACAAACTGATGACATGAGAGGCTCAAACAGAAACTGCTTTCCTCTAATGAATATACTTTAGGCTGCCAAACAGTACACTATTTATGATATTTTATGATGATCATATCAGTACCTAATGCTACATGTTTTACAGATAGTCTTCTAACAGGTTGGACTGTCAGACAATGGTGGCATAAAGCATTCTCTTATAGATCATGCTGTCAGTGCATTTTGGGGCTTTCAGCAGTCAAACCCAAAATATTTAGCTTCAGGTTAAATGTCTGGTTGTTGATCAAAGCTGCCACATCAGCATCACCTTTTCCGCTATTAAAATTTAATGTTAGTTGTTCCCTGATGTCATGTGTTTCTCCTGAATTGCCCCTCAAAGTCTCATGATTCACACGAGGCTGTTGAAAACAAGGGAAGCATTATATGGCAAGAAAAACATGTAGGCTCCGGAAGTAAACCAGTCTAAACAATCATTGTAAGCTGTGAGAAAACAGGGCAAATATACAGTAGGCCTGTGTTTTGTTCTAGGGTGCTCAGTAGTTAACCTCAAAACCAATAGTTATAATTGGCTCTGTGATGGTATAATTCACCCCCCCCCAGGGGATCCATCTGGACTGAATTAGCTGTGAAAATAGGGCTGTTGCGATATTACAACCATGCTGATAAAGGCTAACAAACCTACAATTTCTCTTTCTCTACCTCACAGGGTTGTCAAGATGGATTCCCTGATAAGTGCAGTGGCGCCGCGTTCCCCAGCCCCTGCAAAAAAGCTGTCGGAGGTGGACTTCCGGTCGGGGGCCACCCTGGAGCAGTTGTCATCCCAGGTGTCTGAGCTGGTAGTGCTGGAACAGGGAGAGTTCGGAGACCAGACGGCCTTAGAGGTCCACACCGCCAAGGACTTCATCTTCAACATGCTAGGTATGTCAGCAAACGAAACACAGCGGATAATATGCTCTGCATCGCAGTTTATCTGAAACATCGTCTTCAATACTGAAACTGATTGGCATGCAACCACGGTTCACTAATTTGATGGAAGAGTTCTGTTACACAGAGCTCTGACTGTGAAGGCTGTTGTGTGAAGCTTTGAAATTGGTATGAAGTGACATGATTTTAAAGATAAGTGTCGGCTGATTCTCAGGACAGCTACTGTTAAACTTTGCAAGATACTGAAAACATTTGTTGTCCACATTGTTTTAACGCAGATGGAACTAAGCCATGTTTCTTCTGTGAATGGTCTTGCCTCTGTCGCTGACTTCTCTTAGTATGCAAGTGTGCATGTTGTTTGAGTGTATAGGAAAAGAAGCATATATCTGTTTTTCCCCTTTATTTACCCAGGGTAGCGTCAGTGAGAGCAATGAGTAATTTTATCCAGGAAGCTACACAGTGCAACTCCAGTCTAATAGGCTGGCTGCTGAACGTGCCTTAACATGCACTGAGCTGTTCTTGCACTCAGTACATTTCAACTGACATGATGTCTTAAAGTAATCTCATCCTGGAACAAAATACGTAGTCAAATCCACATCATGTTGTGCTGTATATCTCTATTGTCATGCTGTTTATGAGTTAAACTTTGTGTGTTCAAATATGGTTGCAGAGCTAGAGGAAATTTTGCGAAGTGTCTAGTAGTAAATGTAGTGTATCAAGAGGCTTTTATAGTATACTGAAAAGAATGAGATGCATGAAACCATTGTGTTTTATGCAAATTGATGCCAAAGGGAAGGTAGAAGCAAAAGGTCTAATGTTGACAAGTCCTGCTATCTCTGGAGGCGCCTTCACATGCTGCTTTGTATTTCATTCTTAAAGTGATAGTTTGGATTTGATATACTGGTCACCCACAACAGAAGATATCTCTCCTTTATTTCTGAGACTTTATTCTACCCTTAGACTTCAGTCTGTAGCATTTTCGTGGTGGTTTGTGATAGGTCACTTTCTGTGTGCAGAGTTGTGACAAATTTAATTCAGGCAAAAAGGACAAAACTGCAGGATCTCATTTAAATGTGTTGGGACACGATTTTCTTTTGCAGACACATTTTATGACTCAGGTTGTGAGACGGTGCGTGTGACAAACACGATCAACACTACAGTCTGCATTGAAATTATACATGTGAAAAGGTACAATATCTCCAATTTAATCCCCAAGCAGACACATTATTGCACGGTTGTTTTTTTCCTCATGCCTTATATGCAAAATTGAAGGCTTTTGATTTGTGGCAGTGTGGATGTAGTGATTTGAAACTTGCACATTTGGTGTCTTTCAAATGCAAATTTGACTCCTAAATGACATGGTGCAATTCAAGCACATCCAATATATGATTCATAGTTTCCTAATGTGTTGCTCCACTCTCTCTCTGGCATCCACGCTTGCTGTTTTTCATGCATAACTTGAACCACCGAGAGAGGGGTTTGTGAACTGAGACATGAAGCCGTCTCAAACGTATTGTTTTGTTTTTATTGTCAGTTTGGAGTTAAAAGTGAAGTGTGTTTGTCCGTCCAATAGGTGGCACTCTCCCCCCTCCCTGCTGTCATCCTTGTTCTCTCATGTCACTATCAGTCCGTCCATGTACGCTGGAAAGAAAACATGTTTGGTCAGCATCCTGAGAGTTTCTCGCTCAGCTCACATCTGTGGTTTCATTTCCCAGTGTTACATTTTTGCCAGTCCTCTGTCCGTCTCCTCTTCCGCCTGTAAGAGGCCTGAGTACTGCTCGGCCCTTTGTGTCACAGAATAACATCACACTCAGCTTAACAATTCTTGTCAAATAAGTGGTGTTTCACTGGTTTACAGATTCCAAAATAACCTCCTCAAACAGGCCGCCTCACCCGCAGAGAAATCACACAAATCAAAATAGCATCCAAGCTCTCATTTCACTGTATCACCACAAACTGAACATACAGGGATTCGTTTTTTTGCATGAACTTTTAACTACAATCGCTGTTTTTCTGTCTTTTCCTTTGTTCATATTTCATTTTCATGACTCTGGTGCAAAGCCCTCTGCTTTCCTCTTTGTCTGCTCCAACTCTCTCGGTTCAGAATCTCCTGGTAACTTTTTTTTTTTATTCCCCCCCCAGTTTTGAGGCTGCTTCCTCCCTGGCATAATCACCAATGGTTTGCTAGTATTTTCATACCCTGTGCCTCGCCGCCTGCTGTGACAGCTCCGACTGTGAAAAGAAAAAAGGAAAAAAAAAAAAGAAAAAGTTTGGCACTTTACACAGAGGGAGACGGTTCGTGTCGGATTCTAGGAATATAAAGTCAAGTATGCGGTGGTAGCTGCGTTAGGAGCTGTGTGTCTCTCAAGGCCCTGCGAAGGATGAAAGGCAGCCCTGAAAAGCATCGTCTTGACGGAGGGGCGTCGTTGCAGCATGCCGACTGCAGAAGCTGCATAGGTGTGTGCATGTGTGCGTGGATGCTGGACACATGCGACTGTGGCCAGGTTTTTTATAAAGTTCGAGCTGCAGCGGGACACCCACTGTGTTTTGCACTCTGTCAGGGAAAAGAAAAGAGAAAAGAGAATAAACTTGCACACACTCACAAGCATACCCAGTAAATTTCTTCACAGTCTGACAGATCCAAGAACAGGCTCTTATTTACCCTGTGTTTGAGTAAACACTGGTTTGCCTTTGGGCAAGCGTGACAGGGGCCACTGTGTATCTCTTTCTGAAAAACAAAAGTCTGATGAAGGCAGAAATGGATCCACAATGCAGAAGATCTGGTGCAAGGCCCAGACATGCCCCAAACCCAACTTTTTTTAGATCTTAAAGTTAGTTTGAGAGAGTTCAGTTCAGAGTTCATCTTCCCCTTGGTGCCAGGGAAAATGGACTCTTTTGATCCAAGTTTAATAAGTCATGAGTGCTGTTCTGTGTTGGCTTGGGTTTTGACATTTATATCTCTGAGAAAAGAAAAAATAACCTGTCATATGTTGTAGAGATGCACCAATTTAGCGGCCGATGTTGGCCTTGTTGACTGCCATTAGCTTAATGGCAAATGATAGCAGTCAGTTTTGTGCAGGCCAAAAAGCAGGGCTTGAAACCAACGGCGTACAGAAATGAGATCTTCCCCGGGACCCCGATACAGTAAACTCACCATCAATGCGTCATGGTTTCAGAAAAATGTACCTAACGATTGAATTGTGGAGAATCTAACTGAGCTAAAGATGTTGGGCATGTCCATTTTGACGGAAGTTAAAACATTTACATTTGTATATACAGTCTAATCTGCTAACTAACGTAAGCTCCAGTCGGTAGCCAACGACCCGGGGTGTGTCCATGCCCAGCCAGTGTTGTATTGGAGTATACTGAGTGTGTTGATGCCATCTCGGCACGCTGAATTGCCAACTCCGACAAATAACCCAGACTTCCTGGTGCAAAACGGATTGAATATGGGTATCAAATGACTGGAGATCTTTCAGTGCTACTTGTACTGGGCTACTTCAGTCAATACCTTGAAGGTATTGAGTACCAGTACTGAGCTTTTCAGGAGACACACCCTATTGTTTCTCTGATAATGCTACAATGTTAACTACAAATTCGCGTGGAAACTGACAAGAGGTGAGCTAGTTTCAAAACCCTTAGCCCTAACCCTAACCACCAAGTGGGGCGCTACACATTAACAGGAGGGTAACACTATTGGACAGGGAACACATTACAATACAACACTGGAGCTAACAGCTAATGGAGGTTCCATTGAGATACAGTATGATGCATTAGAGCTCCACCCAGTACAAATAAGTAATCAGTGAATGTAAATTATAACTTATCATTTGTTTAAATAAATCTTGTAAATTTTAGTTTATGATAACAAAACTTGAATAACTTGAACTACAGCTGTTTGAACAAGAAATTTGTTGATTTCACAGCAATATTAAATAGCTATTAGAGTGAATTATGTTATATTCACTCGCTAATAAAGGCTTTTGAAGCTGTTTTTAAGATCTTTTCTGTTGAAAGATGATTATATTAAAGGTTGTTTCATAAATTTGCATAATTGAATTTGTTGATTTTTAACAGTGTAGCTATTTTACAAAGAATAGTTTATTATTTCCCTGGCAAAAGGGGGAGTAAACCACAAAAAAACAAAATTAACAACATAAAAACATTGGTGCTATTGGGTAACAGCCAAAGTGGTGTGGGTATCAGTCCAGAATTTCACAGTCCGCGCATTCCTAGGATCTTGTGATGTGGAAGAATAGAGTAACTGTCATGAACAGAAATGCCAAGTGAGTTTCTTTCTTTATGCAGTGCGGCAGATCTTCACTCTGTCCTACAGTGACCTCCACTTCTTGCCGTACTGTTGGGTGTCTTACATCAGCCCCTTTTGTTTTCCCGCTATTCCTCACACTTAGGCCACTTAGCTTGATGTACATTTGGGTTTGAACAGTGATAAGTGAAGGCGGTTAGACTGAGAAGGGTGATCAGCACCTGGGCTGGTTTCTTCCAAGTCGGGACAGGCGCGAGTCAAGAGTTCACCTTGAGCTTTGATGAAAAATGAAAAACAAAACAAAGCCTGTGTGTGTGTGTGTGTGTGTGTGTGTGTGTGTGTGTGTGTGTGTGTGTATGAGTGATGGTGCATGAGGGCCTGCACATTAATCAGTCTCACTAGAATCTCAAGATTTTTCTGTGATATCGTTGTGGCTCAAAGAGACTTTGCAGTTGTTCCAAAACACAGAGATACAGTTTCCAAACTTTTTTTCTCCATATTATTTTACTATAAATAAATCTTGTAATTTTCAAGCTTGCCAAAGATCATTACAGCTCCATTAGGAGTAACCTTTTAGTTATATTAAGTTATATTAGCTACTTACCTGGGCCACACACACAAGTTAGTTGCAGTGGAGCTTTCCACATACACTGTAGGCTTTAATATTGGGTGCATTTATCAGACATTAAAATATTCTAACCTTTCTAAGGCTGCAAAAACTTTTATG